ATATATATACTGTATATAGGGGTTAGGGTTAGGTTATAATCATTGCATTATAATAATTGCATTATTTTAAAAAACACATGCACAAAATGAAATATATAAATAATAAACAAAAAATATGTATTTATTTATTTTTGGAAAAAAGAGAATATAATAAAATTATATATATGTGTATGTAATGTTTTAAATATGTATATATTCAAAATATTGTATAACTTATGTATATATTTTCATATATATGTCGTAAAATGCACTAAATAAAATTATATATTATTGTTAACTTGCATTTATATTTACTAACACACAAAAACTAAATAATATATGATAATAAAATAAATTCTATCTATCTATCTATATATACTGTATAGGGCCCTATTATTTGGTTTACTTTGGCAGTCTTGAGTCATGTGGCCTGAGGCTTCGGAGGCTCTTGACTGTCCGCAGGCCCCGAGGCCCAAGCAGCTATTTTGTAGCCTGCCACAGTAACCTAAAAAAGTACCGTTAAACGATGTTAGAAATCATGTTGCCTTTCCTCCCATTGTTAGCCTTTCCTCCAAACGGCGGTTCTCTAGATCGAGTTTCCTAGAGCACCAGTAAAGACTTTCTGCAGGAGAACCAAACAATGGCTGCCTGTGGAGGAATGACCGTCTAATACAAGGCCAACAGAGCAGAAAGAACAGGGACACTTAAAGTCAGAGCTTTGCTGGGGAATTTTCCTGGGCTTTTCCCATCTGCTTCTCAACTCAAACAAGTTAATTTCCATTTTCTCCACTCCTCTGGCCATTTAAAGGCACAGTTCACCTAAAAAGGAAACTTTGTTGTTAATTTACTCACTATCTAAGATAAGACTTTGTGTCTTCAGTAGGCAAGTAAATAAGATTTTTAGCTGAAACCGTGGTACTTGGTGATTCATAAAATGCAAGTCAATGGCTACCGGCACTTTGAGAGTCAAAAAAGCACATCAGACAACACAAAATGAATACAAGTGACTCCTGATGATATATTGAGGTCTTATGAAGCGAAACGATTGGCCTGTGCAAGAAATTGAACATTATGTGCATGGTTTATGTAAAAAGGTGAGCTGATGAAGACTAGTTTATTCACTTTAAATGCTTTAGAGACATAAAACATCCACATTTCACATCATTATTTGGTGCTTTAACCATATAAATGCGTATACGTTATGTCATTGCATGACTGCATAAACAAATTGTGAATCAGTTATTTGAACCAGAAACAAACTGTTCGAAAGAGTCTCTGGATTACAGGTAATAATGTTGTAAATAATGTTTAGTTTCTTGCACAGACCGATCGTTTCACTTCGTAAGACCTCAATATATCTTAAGGAGTCACGGGGATTAAAACCCATTTAATCCCACCGGTCACAATAGTGACCGTAAAAACGGTTTTCATTGATAAAGCTCTAAAAACCTTACTGACTGATGTTTTAGTGCACTTCCTGCAAATATGGAAAAAATAAAGGGTCTCAATTAAATATGTGCAGTGTCACATGGTTTGTGCAAATTGTCACATGACCAGAGAAATTTATTTCCTGTTTGCACCTTGAGAAGATGATGGCTGCATCAAAGCTCAAAAACGAAAGGCTAGTAAAGTATGTTAACATAAAGATTTTTGGCACACAATATCTTTAAGGTGTCTAGTATTAATATATGAATTCACATATATTTATTTTTGTTGAGTGTGGTCATAGAATGAGTAAACATGTTGATGGTCACAATAGGTATACAATATAAATCCAGTTGCATTTGTTAGTGAAAATTGCACTAAAATTTTGCAATGACAAAATATTGCATTAAATTAAAAGTTCAAATGTTACAATAAAGTTGCAATATTGATGTTGTAATACTGGAAGCACTAATATAAAAATATGATGATATATGTTACAAAAAGCAACAGTTTTGAAATATGTTAATGGTTGTATTTTTTGTTTGTTTTTGTCTTATCTCAGTGTTCCTATCAATGTTGTATAAGGGTTTTTATGCATAATAGTAACCCTAGAATGTGATCAAAGAGTTTAAAATAGCTGGGCTAAGATATATAACAATTTTTTGACTGCAGAAATATGTTAATTCAGTAAACACATTATCCCACCGGTCACAGTTGTGACCGACCATAAAACACAAAGATTTATTTCCAAAGAATAAAAAAAAAAAATGGTTGATTATTTCAAAGGGTTTGTAATGACACATCATTTGGATATGTTCATGTCTGGGAAAGATTTGGGATTAAAACGGGTTAATTTTGTTTAGCCTGATGTGTGTTTTTGACTCGGTAGCCATTGGGTTGCATTTTATGAATCACCAAAGAGCACGGTTTCAGCTAAAAATCTTCTTTACCGTTCTACTGAAGAAAAACTCACCTACATATTGGATTAAAATTAACAGCAAATATTCATTAGGTTGAACTGTCCCTTTAACCTAAAACTGAGCGTCCCAGGTCGCGGTTGTGTTAGTCTAGGATACTGTGACACATATTCGGCTGGAAAGTCCTCTGCTCCACAGATATGATGTAGTTCTGCGTTAGGGACAGGATTTTCCATCCCGCCTGTTATTGTCCAGTCAGTGACGTTACATCGACAGGTGTTTCCTGTCTCATCAGTGTCCCGCGACCTCCTGACATCCTGCTGTTTGTGTTTGGAACTGGGAACTGTGGGATTGAACTTGTGACAATCAAACCGTCTCACTAACCAAACCAAACACAACATCATTGGGTGTTTGATTCTATCTATCTATCTATCTATCTATCTATCTATCTATCTATCTATCTATCTATCTATCTATCTATCTATCTATCTATCTAGCTATCATTCTATCTATCTATCTATCTATCTATCTATCTATCTATCTATCTATCTATCTATCTATCTATCTATCTATCTATCTATCTATCTATCTATCTATCTGTCTGTCTGTCTGTCTGTCGCTCTCTCGCTCTATATCTCTCTATCTCTCTATCTATCTATCTATCTATCTATCTATCTATCTATCTGTCTATCTATCTATCTATCTATCTATCTATCTATCTATCTGTCTATCTATCTGTCTATCTGTCTATCTGTCTATCTGTCTATCTGTCTGTCTGTCGCTCTCTCGCTCTATATCTCTCTATCTCTCTATCTATCTATCTATCTATCTATCTATCTATCTATCTGTCTGTCTGTCTGTCGCTCTCTCGCTCTATATCTATCTATCTATCTATCTATCTATCTATCTATCTATCTGTCTGTCTGTCTGTCTGTCGCTCTCTCGCTCTATATCTCTCTATCTCTCTATCTATCTATCTATCTATCTATCTATCTATCTGTCTGTCTGTCTGTCTGTCTGTCGCTCTCTCGCTCTATATCTATCTGCCTCTCTATCTATATCTCTATCTATCTATCTCTCTGTGTGTGTATGTGTATATATGTATTATATTATTATTATTTGTTATTATTATTATTCATTTTGGACATGCATGGAAATTTATCGTGCATAATGCAAATAAAAATATTTATAAAAGTATTTATATATAGTAAAAGAAATGTTTTCCTTTTTGTTCGTTAGTTTATTTGTATTATGCATAGCAATTTTTCACACTTGTCATGCTTTTCGAATAAAATATATATAAACATGTCCATTTTTTGGATGCTAGGGCTGGGTTGACTATCGATTTTTATTTTTAATTGAATCTTCATTTCATGAACCGAGATATGTGACCCTGGACCACAAAACCTCTCATAAGTGTACATTTTTCGAAACTGAGATTTATACATCATCTGAAAGCTTTAAACTCTCCATTGATGTATGGTTTGTTAGGATAGGACTATATTTGGCTGAGATACAACTATTTGAAAATCTGGAATCTGAGGCTGCAAAAAAATCTAAATATTGAGAAAATCATCTTTAAAGTTGTTCAGATGAAGTTCTTAGCAATGCATATTACTAATCAGAAATTAAGTTTTGATATATTTACGGTAGGAAATTTTAAATATCTTCATGGAACTTGATGTTTATTAATATCCTAATGATTTTTGGCATAAAAGAAAAATCTATAATTTTGACCCATACAATGTATTGTTGGCTATTGCTACAAATATCTCCCAGCGACTTAAGACTGCTTTTGTGCTCCAGGGTCACATATATGCTGTTTTCAGTTGATGCATGAACAAAATTTCACTAAACATTATTTGAAGCACACCTGTCATCCAATAATTACAATAAGCTTTGTTGCTTTTGTTATATAACAAGCTTTTAAATATTGTCAATTTTATAACCAAACTCAAACAATGTACAGTAAATGTTTGTGGTAGAAGGCGAGATTGACTGTGTGAATGTGTGATCTGTTGCAGGACTCGGAGTCGTTGGACCGCTGCATTCGGAGCGTGTTATCGGCTCTGTATCCTCCGTTCAGCGCCTCGGCGGCCACAGTCCTGTGGCAGCTCTTCAGCGTCGTGGAGAGACAGTACCGCGGAGACGGCCTGCGCTGCTTCATTGACTTCCTGCTGCCCGCTAAGAGAATCCTGCAGACAATAACACAGGAGGCCTGTGTGAGTACTGTCAGCTTCAGCAGACGCATTTTCACTGAAGCATTTACAAGTTAATAAAAACAGTGGGCAATATCTACTAATAGATCACAGTTTTTGTTATTTACCAAATGTATAATATAATTATTACATATAATATAATATATATTATGTATAATATAATTATTTATACAAGGCCACCTAGGTGACGTTCACACAATATACAGTATATATATATATATATATATATATATGACCCTGAACCACAAAACCAGTCATGAGGGTCAATTTTTCGAAATTGAGATTTATGCATCATCTGAAAGCTGAAAATCTGGAATCTGAAGGTACAATAAAATCTAAATATTGAGAAAATCGCCTTTAAAGTTGTCCAAATGAAGTTCTTAGCAATGCATATTACTAATCAAAAATTAAGTTTTAATATATTTACAGTAGGAAATTTACAAAAAAGCTTCATGGAACATGATCTTTACCTAATATCCTAATGATTTTTGGCATAAAAGAAAAATCTATTGTCTTGACCCATACATTGTATTGTTGGCTATTGCTACAAATATCCCCCAGCGACTTAACACTTAACAACTCATTTATTTACTTATTTATTTATTTATGGAACCTGCATGGTGATGCATCATGCATCACGCAATCTTTAAACTCGATATTGTGTATTAATGGCCTGGTAATGCAGTTTACACAGGTTTGCTGAATATTTTATTATTTTGGATAAAAGATATTGTTGTTGAAATCCATAGTGCTGCAGCTAAACATGTTCAAGCCATTTAAATGCTCTCAGAGAGAAACATTGTGAGAGTGGGAACATGAGAGGGAGGAGGAATACTAAAGGCTGAAAGAGGGTTCAGTGTTGCTCTGATAAACAGCCCAAACAGAGCGTGTTGTGAGCTCGCTGCGGAGATCTTGGCAAAGAGAATCAGGCTGAAATGAAAGACCTGCTCAGGGAGGCTTTGTATTTCTGCAGGTTAGCGCTGTGTGAGCACATAGCTGAAACCTTACGCTCCTGTATTCAGCGCTGCCGTTGTTACTCTGAGACGAGAGCTCTCAGCGGCCTCATTTAACTCAGGCATGATCTTTGAGGGAGTCACAGTGTGCTGAACTTACATGTTCTGGCTGCATCATCAGTATCATTATACAGAGGCATCAGGGAGTCACTAACAACGCTACTAAATTAACTGGTTTTTCAGTAGCATTAAGTATATAAGTAGCGAAGTTCTTTATTGATGTACCATGATAAAATGCCTTTTTCACACTGTATTGTCTGTGCAGAAGTCTCTCATAAAAAATGTTGGCCAGTCTGATTTATTGTGTTAAATTGCTTGTTAGCGCACTACAATGTTTATTTATTTGTTCGTTCATTCATTCATTCATTTGCTGAATTATTTGAATCCCTGCAAGGAATTTTACATCTTTTTAATTTGAATCCTTATGCTTAATGTTTTCATTACATAAATTATAGTGTTTTCTCATTTTATTTGCTGATATTCTATTTATTGAAATTGTATCTTTTTAAATCAGTGATACTTTAATTTCATTGAGGTACTATTATAGTTTTTTTAATTTAAAAAAATAGTTTTTATTTTTATAATTTTATTGTAATTTTGGTTAAAGTTTTAGTAATTTTGTATTCCTCATTTTTAGTAGTTTTTGTTTATTTTAAATGTCTATATAGTTTTTTTAATTAAATTATTTCAGTTTAAGTTTTATTTATTTTTTAACGTCAAGTTGAACTAAATGAAAATGAGAAATGAACTAGCTAAAATAATTAAAAAGCTTTTTATATTTTATTTTATTTCAGTTAACAAAAATACAAGTATGCCACCTAGTTGTCATTTTTGCAATTCTACTGAGTGATAAAGAAATTATGATTTCTTTCACTTTTATAATTATATTTATAATTATTAATTATATTATTTATAATAATTATCCTTTTACATATATATTTTAGAATTCCATGATGTTCTAATTCATTGCATTTTTGTATCTTGAAATCTGCTTCAAGACAGGAATTAATTATTGATTGCAAACTGCAAATAACTGCATATTGTTGCTTGCACCTGTAAGAAAAGTTGCATTTTATCTAATGAATTCATCCTTTTAATTATCCACAGCTGCGATTCAAAGGCCTGTTGCTGTACCACGAGGGATGGCCGCTGTGTTTGCATGAGAAGGTGGTTCTGCAACTCGCACCCCTGCATAAAGTACGTCTACGGCAGGGAGATTTCTACCTGCAGGTGGTTCCCTTAGGCCGCAAAGCTGCCAAACTGGTCATAAAATGCCTGTCAGGGAGCGGGCAAGCCATTGTGGAGATCCCTGTGGCCGAGAGCATGTACGGCAGCATGTTCACACCCGACTTCTTGCAGAATGTAATGCGTGAACGCAACCTGCACCCTCTCCAGAACTGCCTCCTCAGTACCGGTGCCGTGGTTTACCGAACGCCCTGGAAGAACGTGGTCAATCCTTTGTTTGTGACCAGCACCGCAGACGCAATCATGCAGGCGCGGAGCAGCGGCGAGACCCTGCGGGGTCAACTCAGTACCTGCAGCACCCACGGATCCACGGGAACGCTCAGTTCACGAGACTCCCTGGGCGCTGAGTCCACCGTGTCCGAGCCAGTCCTCAGCCGGAGCCTCACAGATATGGGCATCAGCTCCCTGCACTCAGAGGATTCGCCCTTGCAAAAGAGTCCTAACTCCCTTCCCCAGACACCCACCTTGGGCAGCCCGGATCAGGGATGCATTCGAGGCAGAATCGGCCACAAAATCCTCTCGTTTAGCACAGACCTTAGCAATCCCGGCCTTCGCAAGCGGCATCCCAGAGACTCTGCTGCCTTCGAGTCTCGCCGGCTTTTCCGAAAGTCCTACATGGAGGCTTTGCAGAACCCTATGAACCTTGGCTCCAGCTCTGAATCAATTCTTGAGGAAGGGGCAGAGTCGGAGCCAGGAGCGCCTCGCGGATCTGGCCCGAAGGAGCCGATCCCTCGGAGAATCTGTGTTCGTGGATGGCTGGGAGGAGATGAATCATGCAATGATTCTCCTGCCGTCCATCCATCCAAGAGCGCCGAGCTCAGTCCGGGCGAGAGACGCTCCAAATCTCTTGAACGTACCAACAAGGCCTTGCAGGTTAAAGGCCACCGGGCTCGGTCGTCTTCCGGTGGATCCGGTAGTGGCCTTCCCAAGAAACTTATGAATGGTTATGCATTTCGTTTTGGAAAATTGGACTTGGAGGCGGCCTTTCCTGGCATTGAGAAACGGAGCAACAAAGAGAACTCAGGTAAAAACGTTTGTCAACTCTTTTGAAGTTTGCCATTCCAGTGCCAAGGTCATGGGTTCGATTCGCAGGGAATGCATGAACTGATCAATGGCATACCTTCAATGCAATATAAGTCTCAGGGGTGTCCAATCCTGCTTCTGGAGGGCCTACGTCCTGCAGAGTTTAGCTCCAGCCAGTGCAAACACACTTACATGGAAGTTTCTAATGAGTCTTAAGACCTTGATTAGTTGGTTCAGGTGTGTTTAATTGGGGTTGGAACTAAACTCTGCAAGACAGCGGCCCTCCAGGAACAAGTTTGGGCACTCTTGGTGTACATAAAAAACGCAGTACAGCATCTTGTTTGGGATTCTTTCCCACCAAAAACAAGACCAGAACAAGCTTCCCTTAATAAATCATGGCACTAGCAATGTCAAGATCATGGGTTCGATTCCCAAGGAATGCATTAACTGATAAAATGCATACTTTCAATGCAATGTAAGTCACTTTGGATAGAACATCTGCCAAATGCATAAATGTAAATGTCACCATATTGTACATCAGGCGTGTCCAATCCAGCTCCTGGAGGGCCAAAGTCCTGCAGAGTTTAGCTCCAACCAGTGCAAACACACTTGCATGGACGTTTCTATTGAGTCTGAAGAGACCTTGATTAGTTGGTTCAAATTCAGGTTCATTTAATGGCCCTCCAGGAATAGTTTTGGACTCCCCTGCTGTACATAAAGAATGTGGCAGAGCATCTTGTTTGGGATTCTTTCCCACCAAGAACAAGACTAGAACAACCTCCCCCTATCAAATCATGTCACCTGAGGCCTTAAGAGCCAGTTCTGGTTCCAGACTTGGCACTAACAACGACAAGGTCATGGGTTCGATTCCCAGGGAATGCGTGAAATGATGAAATTAATATCTTCAATTCGGTGCAAGTCACTTTGGATAAAAGAGTTTGCCAAAAGCATAAATGTAAATGTCACCATGCTGTACATCAGGGGTGTGCAATCCTGCTCCTGGAGTGCCAAAGTCCTGCAAAAGTTTAGCTCCAACCATTGCAAACACACTTACATGAACGTTTTTAGTGAGTCTAAAGACCTTGATTAGTTGGTTTAGGTGTGTTTAATTAGGGTTGGAGCTAAATTCACCCTTGCTGTACATAAAGAACGCAGCAGAGCATCTTCTTTGGGATTCCTTCCCACGAAATACAAGACCAGAACAAGCTTCCCTTAATAAATCATGGCACTAGCAATTTCAAGATCATGGGTTCATTTCCAAGGGAATGCATGAACTGATCAAATGCATACGTTGAATGCGATGTAAGTCACTTTGGATGAAAGCATTTGCCAAATGCATAAATGTAAATGTCACCAAACTGTCCAACAGGGGTGTCCAATCTTGCTTCTGGAGGGCCAGCCCACCAAGAACAATACCAGAACCAGCTACCCTTATACAATCGTAGCACTTGCAATGTCAAGTTCATAGGTTTGATTCCCAGGGATTGTTGATGGGATGACATGCTTACCTTGAATGCGATGTGGACATCCTTGATGTACAGGATGGTGACGTTTACATTTATGCATTTGATCAGTCCATGCATTCCCTGAGAATCAAACCCATGACCTTGGTGTTGCTAACATCATGCTCTGATGAAATGCTTACCCCGAATGCAATGTAAAAGTGTCTGTGAAGTGCATAAATGTAAACCAGGCTACTGTACATGGGGGGTGTCCAATCCTTCTCCTGGAGGGCCAACATCCTACAGAGTTTAGCTCCAACCAGCTCCAACACACTCGTGTGGACGTTTCTAGTGAGTCTATAGACCTTGATTAGTTGGTTCAGGTGTGATCACCCTTCATGTGTAGTGATTTTTACATTTATGCATCTGGCAGATGCTTTTATCCAAAGCAACTTGAGTTGCATTCAAGGTGTGCATTTGATAAGTTCATGCATTCCCTGGGAAACGAAACCCATGACCTTTGTGTTGCTAACATCATGCTCTACTGGAGCTAAACTCTGCAGGAGAGTGGCCATACAGGAATAGGTTTGCTGTACATAAATAATGCTGCAGAGCATATTGTTTATGATTCTTTCCCACAAAGAACAAGACCAGAACAGACTTCCCTTATCAAATCATGTCGCCTGAGGCCTTAAGAGCCAGTTCTGGTTCCAGACAGTTGTGGTCCAGAGTATAATTATCACTTGCAGCAAACTCCGGGACCGTCAACAAGCTTAGATTTTCGGAGGAGACAGCTTGTCATTCCTCTGGCATGATTTTATGGCTTGCGACCGGCTGCATGTGAGGGCTAATAGCGTGTGTGTTTTGGAATGCTTCAGCGGCCCTGCCCTATTATAGAGGGTGCTTGTCTTTCTAAAGTGTTTGCTGTACCCCAAAGGCACGATACTGCACTGAATGCATTGCCAGGGAGACTGCACTGTTTTATTTAGCTCTTTCTGCTATTGAGCGTTTGAAAGAAAGAGCGTTTTGCCCTCCGTCTAGCGCTTCAGGCAAGGGGTGTGTTTGGGTCTATCTGCAGGAAATTCCAAATTGTCCGGCATTCTTAAGACCGTGCATGGCCAGATACATTTATGAGCAAAACCCGTCTTTTCATATTAATCCAGTTAGTTGATCTAGCTGTGCCAAGTGACATTATACTTGGTCAGTCACTTTATTTTCATTTTAATTGCATTCCACTCCACTCACAATGAAATGATCCACATAGCTGTATATTAAAAATAAATAAATAATATAATATATATATATACACACACATACACACACACACACACACATATATCTATACATGTATATACAGTATATATATATATATATATATGAATAATCTGCTTAAATGATATAACGAACTCTAACTACTTTGAACAGAGTAAGAGTAAGAATAAAAATATGACCTGTCCCGGCAAGCCTGGTTAGGAAGTTGTGCTAGGTGATTTCATTCTCTATGGCTCTCATTTTACTTTCGTTCTCTATTTAACACATTTAGCCATTAACACACACAGAGTGGTTTAGGTAAATTCCCATCTGGGATTCTGCAGAGTCCCTCTGTTCTCTGGCTTTCTTTCCCACACATGAAAATCAGAGCCATTATGTCTGGGAAGGAAGCCACAGCGGATCCGATGACCCACCTGAGGGAGGATCTCTGCGCCGCTTACCTGCTCGACTCCCAGCGCTGTTCAGCTCCCTTCCAGATGGTTTGCCTCCGTCATAATGGGGACCTTTGTGTCCTGTTGGGCCGGTGAGGATGCTGAAGAGAGGCTTAGAGAGTAAAGCCCATCTCCACGTAATATCTGTCCTGTTATAAAGCCCGAGCGAAGCAGGGGTCAGTCAGACTTTGTTCAGCAAACAAATGCCAATGACTTTGAGGCTGGATCAGATTACGGCTGATGTGGTTTTGCTTGGCCTTTGTGATTGGGTCCCTTGTGATTTGAAAGGGTTCACATGATACCCCAGAGCTCGGCCTTGCACTCAGAGACGTATGCAAACTCAACCAAATGTTGTCAGGCGGCTTTCTGAACAGTGTTGGTTAGTGAATATCTACAAGCAGCGACAATATTAACTTTTATCTTTCCCAGTAACAATTTGCTTTCCAACTAGTAGTAGTGTACAGCTTTACAAACGAGCAAACTGATAAGAAACTCATAAAGTGAAAGTGACGTGTGGCGACCCATACTCGGAATTAGTGCTCGGCATTTATCCCATCCAAAGTGCACACACACACACCCAGAGTAGTGGGCAGCCATTTATACGGTGGCGCCCGGGGAGCAGTTGGGGGTTTGGTGCCTTGCTCAAGGGCACCTCAGTCGTGGTATTGAAGGTGGAAGAGAGCGCTGTACATTCACTCCCCCCACCTACAATCCCTGCCGGTACGAGACTCGAACCCACAACCTTTGGGTTACGAGTCTGACTCTCTAACCATTAGGCCACGACTTCCCCTTAGGCCTGTTTGCAACATTTTTATAGCATTGGAAATCCATATTCATTCGAGTGAATTAATTCATTCAGATGATTTATCTAAATGAACTGATTCAAAAAAGTCTATTTGCAACATTTTTATAGCATTGGAAATTCCTTTTCATGCCAGCGAATCAATTCATTCAAATGATTCATGTAAATCAAATGATTCAAAAAAGTTTGTTTGCTACATTTTTATAGCGTTGGAAATTTTTATTTGTTCTAGTGAATCAGTTCATTCAAATAATTTATGTAAACTAACAAGCAACATACTTTTATAACATATTTAGTTACATTCTGAGTTTATGAATAATTATTCCAGGTTTTTTTATTTATTTCAGTAAGTATAATTATATCTGTTAAAGCTTAATGACGAAACCCTGATTGAGAATCATTCATTCAGAAAAATGTGTGATGTATAGGAATGAAGTCATGAATCTGAGTCATCTCTTGTTTAATATGTATTTCCCAGGGCTCATCACGTTAATAATGCAAAGGAGAGCAAGTAGAAAATGCAATATTACTTTAATAATAATACAATAATAATAATGATAATAATATAATAGCGAAAAAAAATCACGTGGAGAGTCATAATGCACAACTGTCACCATTTAGAATTAAACAAACTTGTATTCGTGATGACCCGAGCTGACGCAGAAAGTTAATTGTGAAATATTTGCGCTTTGTAGAGTAAAGTACCGGCAGTTCAAGCATTTTCATAATCTCTAATTTGTAAAAAAAAAAAAAAAAAAAAAAGACTTTGATCAAGACTTCTTAACAAGAACTCATTCTTGTTAAGTACGGCCACTGTTGTCACCGGAAAAACGTTTACCCTGCAAGCGCCAATCCGGAAGCCAGAAACACGGAAGTGTGAAAAAGACTAAGTGTGAACTACAGACAAAAAACGTGGAAAATGACGATTTTGGTCGAATTGTGAAAAAGACTGTGTGAACTACAGACAAAAAACGTGGAAAATGACGATTTTGGTCGAATTTGAGGTTTTCACAAAAACGAGTTCATTAAGTCCTCGTCTAACAATCCCAATGCTCCAAATAGTAATTAAACATCTAAAATGATCTTTATTTCTTATTCATTCAGAAAAATGTTTGCAGATTTTATTTTATTTTATTATTCAGTAAATAATTTTATGCACGGGATTCATGCAAATTAACTGATTAAAAATCGGTTTAATTTTATTTTAATGTATATTACTTATTTATTTATTTATTTTACATTTATTTATTTTCTTTTATTGGTTGATGTTCAAATGTTCTTCCTCAGTGCCATATAATGTTAAAATATCGTATCAATTCTAGCACAGTGTAATAAGGGTGTTTAATTACTGTGAAAAATATTTGATTTATTTTATTTGGCTAATTTAACCTTTGAAGGAAGGTGGATAATGTGTAGTGTTCTTAGAGTTGTTGTTGAACTCCTCAGCGGTGTGTCCTCTCAGGAGGAGGAGAACGAGTTGTGTTGTATTGTTTGGGTTGCTGAGTTTGGAAGAAACAGCCTGAGGGTTTGGATTCAGGAGAAAGTTGACAAACATCTGCTTCAGCTGTGAATGTCAGCCGCAGCATTCCTCAAACCAGAGCCCGAGGGCCCAGAATCTCAGCTCTGTGCGTGTGTGTGTGTGTGTGTGTGTGTGTGAGTGTGTGAGTGTGTCTGTGAGTGTGTGTGTGTGTGTGTGTGTGTCTGCGTGTGTTCGTGTGTGTGTCTGTGTGTGTGTGTGAGTGTGTGAGTGTGTGAGTGTGTCTGTGTGTGTGTCTGTGTCTGTGTGTCTGTGTCTGTGTGTCTGTGTCTGGTGTGTGTGTGTGTTTGCGTGTGTGCGTGTGTTCGTGTGTGTGTCGGTGTGTGTGTGTGTGTGTGTGTGTCTGTGTGAGTGTGTGAGTGTGTCTGTGTGTGTGTGTGAGTGTGTCTGTGTCTGTGTCTGTGTCTGTGTCTGTGTCTGTGTCTGTGTCTGTGTGTGAGTGTCTGTTTGTGTGTGTGTGTGCGCACGCCTCACACACCTGGTCTCCATCGTGACTCAACATTTACTCACTGTGTAGATTTTGTCACACCTGAACCCAATCTTCCTTCCACACAGTCTGTTCAATATCTGCTCATACATACACTACTGTTTGGAGTCAGTAAGAAGTTTCTTCTGCTCACCAAAGCTGTGTTTGTTTGATCAAAAATACAGTAAAAAATTATGAAATATTACTACAATTTAGAAGAACAATTTTCTCTGTGAATATCTGTAATTTATTTCTGATCAAAGCTGAATTTTCAGCATCATTTCTCCAGTCTTCAGTGTCACATGATCTTCAGAAATCAGTATAATATTCTGATTTGCTGAAACATTTCAGATTATTATCAATGTTGAAAACATCATTATTTTAGTGGAAACTGTGATACATTTTATTTTTCAGGATTCACAGATGAATAGAAAGTTCAAAAGAACAGAATTTATTTGAAACCGTAATCTTTTGTCACATTATAAATGCCACTTTTGATCAAGTCAAAGCATCCGTGATGAATAAAAGTTTTAATTTCGTTCAAAATAAAAAAGTTACTGACCCAAAGCATTTGAACGGTAGTGTAGTTCAGTTCAGATTATGAAAGGTGTGTTTGAGTTTACAGTCAAATGAACTGATTGTTTGCATCTCTGCCATTTAAATATCAAATCCTGTAAATATTCCATTATTTACATATTAGGAAACTTTATGACTAACTCAAATGTGCTGATATTCACAGTGCTGCTTCATTTGAAATCCTCGTCATCATGATGAGGTGTGACGCTCAGATCTGTGTTTGTGTGTTCAGGTCTCTGTGATGACGGTCTGCACTCGAGCCCCACGAGGAACAGGAACAGCGGCGATGAGTTTGTTTCCAGCAGATCGGCCGTGTCTCCAGCGCTGCCCTCGCTCATCACACACCTCAACCAGGAGCTGCTGACCTCCGGTGCTCTGACGCTTCCCGGTGCGTGACCGGGCCAGAAACTACAAAACACAAGAAACACACAGTGGTGGCCAAAATGATTTGAACACTAGTATTTCCAGCAGCTAAAAATGGTTTTAAGTCAGTTATTTCTATCTTTTGCTGTAGTGTGTCAGTAGGAAATATCAGGTTACATCTCCAAACATTCATTTAGCCATTAATTGTAATAATCCAGTGAGACTTTTGTGCTCCACACAGAGATCTGATCTGATCAGGAGTGACATGAAGAAACAGAACAAACTGAGACAGACTCAATCCAGAAGAACTGATGCTTCAAGAAACCTACCTGCAAAGCTACAGAACTGTTAAAAGTTTTAGACACTTGTGTAAAAATGCTGTAAAATGAGGAAGCTGTCAAAAATAATGTCATAAATAGATTTTCTTTATCAATTAACTTCAATCAACTAAATCAAATCAACATTTGGTGTGAGCGTCCTTTGCGTGTAAAGCAGCTTTTGCCCTCTACAAGCATCTCGGAGACGTTGTTCTTCACAGTTCTTCTGGATTGTTCTGTTTCTTCATGTCACTCCTGATCAGATCAGATCTCTGTGTGGAGCACAAAAGTCTCACTGGATTATTACAATTCATGGCAAAATGAATGTTTGGAGATGTAACCTGATATTTCCTACTGACACACTACAGCAAAAGATAGAAATAACTGACTTAAAACCATTTTTAGCTGCTGAAAATACTAGCGTTCTAATCATTGTGGCCACCACTGTATATTCCTTTAAAAAATTTAACTAAATTAATCCATTTTTTTAAGTTCATTGCAAATGAACTGCATGAGGCTGCTTGATTAACTGGAATAAAACCGATTATAGCGCAATTACCAAATTGCAGATGCTGAGTTTTTATTAAATGCATTTTTATGCTGTGTGTTTCAGAGTTAAGCGAGGCACTGTGTTCTTTTACACGCTTACAGTTCATAGTGTTAAAAATTGAAAATGAAAAAATTAAGAAGAAATTAGGCTCATTTGAAAACAAAGAAATTATAGTATATTAGTATTGTAATTTTACTGTAAAATAAAATAATAATTATTATATTATTATTATTTTTGTATTATTATATTATACTATATATTTAATTTCACTGTGAAATATTACAATAGCAATATTTTTACTTTATTATTTATTATTTTAATATTTTTATTTAGTAATTATAATTCATATTAACTATAATAATAATAATTATTATTATTATAAATTGTATAAAATTTTTATATAAAATTATTATTATTATTATTATTATTATTAATTATTATTATCATAGTAATTATTATATTTAATATTATAATTTCTATTATTATTATTATTAATCGTTTTTTCTTTCATTTTAATGTAGTAATTATAACAATCATTAATAACACGAAATATTATTATATTATATTAATTTACATAATTGTTATAATGAGTTATTATTGTTATTCATATTAATAATAATTGTTACTATTAGTAGTAGTAGTATTTATTATCATTATTATTATTGATAATGATACTATTATTATAATATGTATTATTATTAATATTATTTTCTCTTCTTTGTAAGTTACTTTGGATAAAAGCGTCTGCTAAATGCATACATCTAAAATGTAAAATTTTACAGTCGTATTGATATATGTTGTTTTAAACCTAATGTTTTTGTCTAGTAATTATAATAATCATTAATAATTATTATTTTTATATTAAATTATTCTATTCTACTAAATTATATTACTATCATTATTATTTCCTCTTATTATTAATAATAATGATAATTAATTAATCTCCTCTTTGTAAGTCCCTTTGGATAAAAGCGTCTACCAAAATCATAATTGTAGAATATAATTAGAATTTTAGTGTCATATCGATATGTAATCAACGTTTTGACCAACTAGTGCAGCCCTGCAAACAAGCACAGCAAACCTGGAACTTTTTTCCCTCTTTACAGTTTGTATCATTAAAATCACATTTGTGAGTCGCTGGGGGATATTTGTAGCAATAGCCAAAAATACATTGTATGGGTCAAAATTATAAATTTTTCATTTATGCCAAAAATCATTAGGATATTAAGTAAAGATCATGTTCCATGAAGATGTTTTGTAAATGTCCTACCGTAAATATATCAAAACTTTATTTTTGATTAGTATTATGCATTGCTAAGAACTTCATTTGGACAACTTTAAAGATGATTTTCTCAATATTTAGATTTTTTTGCACCCTCAGATCCCAGATTTTCAAATAGTTGTATCTCGGCCAAATATTGTCCTAACAAACCATACATCAATGGAAAGCTTATTTATTCAGCTTTCAGATGGCTTGTAAATCAAATTGACCCTTATGAGTGGTTTTGTGGTCCTCGGTCACACATAGATTTTCCCCCAAACGGTGGAGCTCTAGTGAAGGGTGCAGGGTTTGGTTTATGGGGTCATGATCTGGATGCAGGTAACCAGGACCGCGGCGGCAGAGCTGTGCTGCAGGTGTGCAGCAGGAGCCAAGTGTGGACAGATGCAGCTTTCACCACAAACCAGATCAGCGAGCTGCTGTGCTACTTCTGCGGCAGACTGCGGTGAGAAAGCAGGCCACACGGAAACTCTGCAGCACACTGTGTCCGAGCGCAGGCCTTTCTCTGAGTGTCTTACGCTTGTGTTTTCAGGAGGGAGAAGAGAGGCCTGGGTTTGACGGTTCTCATCGACGCTCGCAGGCAGCCGGTCACGTCTGCGCTCTTCACGGCTCTGTCTGAGCTTCAGGTGAGACCAGACACACAACTGTCTGGAAGACAAACCTTTGAGTTTGGATTAAGGCCACAAGGAGCACCAATGTTCCTTTTATTTAAAAGACCCGAAAGATAAAGGTCTTAAAGCAGCACTATGTAACGTTTGGCACTCTAGCAGTTAATAAACAGAACTGCACACATCCCGCGGAAGAACATTCTAACCGGAGCTACTTCTCTAAGTTTATGTATATGGCGATTCACGCAGGTATGTGTTACTCCGCAGCGGTGACGACCCGACCAGGCTACAATAGTCTGAATATAAGTACTTATTAAAAGTGTTCCGTTGTGATTCGGAATAAGACAAAAACGCGGGTTGGAAGATGAATTCATGATGGACTCGCTCATTATATACATTTTGCAAATTTTGAACACAGAAAAAGTTACATAGTGCTGATTAAGGAATTAAGTGGAAAAGAAATAACTTTTTTTTCTTCATTTTGTTGTAAAGTTAAATCAATTTGACCAGTTTGCAAATAAGATATGAAAAGTTAATTTGCAAAAGCAGATAACTCCATTTTTAACAATTTTCATGTTTTTCATAGTGCATTCCAATTAATCTCAATCAGACTGCAGTTGGGTTGTTTTGATTAAGTAAAAAGAACAAAAAAAAAATACAGCTAACTAACACAATAAAACACAAAAAAAAACATGATTTTTGAAAATAAAACATTTAAAAGAAAATCTGTTTTTGCAAATAAACTCTTGTTTTATATTTTAAAATATTTATCATATATAAAATATTAGAATCTATAATAATTATAAAACTATTTTGCAATATTGTAATTTGAATATATGTACACATTCACTCTTATTCATAAGCCTAATATGTTAAAACACAAAACTGAAAAAAGCTTCTTGTCTCTTTACATTCAGTTACATCAATCGCAGAAATGACAGCCTATTTTTCCAATTCAAAATAAAGACTTTTACCAAAACGTTGAGTAGTTTGCATCGTTGGTTATACATTTATTTAGTTTTTTACTATTATAGTTTTTTTTGGGGTAATATTTTGAATCAGTTTTATATTTGCCATTATCATATTACCTTTAAAGTTGTAGTCATTTTTGAGATTTTTAGTAGTATTACATTTTTATTAAAATTTTATATTTACTTTTAGTTTTTTTAAAACATCAAGTTAAACTAAATTAAAATGGGAAATGTTGCAGCTTGCTGAAATAAAATGAGTTATGTTTTGTTTTATTTCAAGTCACGTTTTTTTTAATGGTTTTAATTTTAGTTTCCGTTTTAGTTTCCGTTTTAGTTTTAATGATTGGGATCAATATCTGGTTTGGTTATTTGTAACTAGTTTTTTTTTTTGTATCAATTTGATCTGTTTGCAAATAATACATTTATTTTAAAATAAGTTTTATATTTTAAAATATTATCATATTTAATCAGTTTGAACATTTATCAGTGTCTGGTTTGGTTGTTAGTCACTCCAGTTAATCACAGAGAAGTGGTGTAGACTTTGACACAGTTATGAAAAATCATAATCGATTCGCTCAAGTGCAAGACATTGTCAGCCATTCATCTGTCTGTCACATATTTGCTCACTGAAGCCAGAAACATCACAAACTCTTCAGCGCTGCACTGAACTGTGCTGCTATCAAACCTTTGACATGTTTTAGGACGCAGTGATGTCTGAAAGCATCGGTGTTCACACACTGGTGTTTTGAGTGTAAAGCATGTTAATTGTCAATCTGAAGGAAAGTCTGTCCTCGGGGTTTGAGACGAGGCCTGTGTGAGCACGTCTCTAAAAAACATGCTCTGAGAAAATGATCAGTCCCAACACGCAAAATATGAGAGAAGAGGGACGAGAAAGAAGTGCTTCTCCACTTAAATATGTTCTTATTAGCACTATTGCATGCAATAAATGATCTAAACTCTAGTCTTTGTAAGCATGCTTGCATAGTTTTGTTTTGTTTGTTTTTTCCCCAATGTTAAGTCTGTACGATAAATGACTTAAACTGTGAGTCTGTGAGTTGCTGAAAAGCTCATAATTCATAAAAAATAAAAATGAATCATTTTTAAGATAAAGACAATCAAAATTAAATAGTTACTAAAATTAATTAAATCATAAAAATGTAAAATTAAGGGAAATAGTTAATTTGTGAATTAAAAAAAATGTAAATAAAATTCTAATAATTAATTAAATCATTAAAATGATAAATTAGAATAAATAAATAATTTAAAATAAAAACCATCAAAGATAAAATACTTGCTAGCAATTAATGAAATCATCAAAATGTAAAATTAAAATAAATAACTAACCCAAATGAAAACAATCAAGATAAAACACTTCATAAAAAAAGATGAAATATTTTGTTTACCTGGAAATCATGTCACCATTAACCCATGAACCATTAATGTTTTGTTAAATTAATGAAATATTAACTTTATTAAATATTAATTTAAAAAAAGAAGAAAAATCCCTGATTTAATCAGTTTAGTCTTTGTAATTATGTTGTTAGAGTGTTAGTCTGAACAATAAATGATCTAAATCAGGGCTTTCAAAACCACAGGTTTTGTGAGTTGAAGAAAATCAAATAATTAAATCATAAAATCGCAATTTAAATAAATGTATAATAAATAAATAAATATTTAAACCAGTCAAAATAAAACACTAAGAATGAATTTATTAGTTTACCTGCATGTCATGTGACCGTTAACCAACATCAGAGGCCTGTAAACATGCAAATGTAGTGTAAATATACACGTTATGATTTTATGTTTGGATTTATTAATGCTCTTTGATTTCTTCTGTCCCGCCAGACTCTCGTACCCAATGTGCTTTACTCGGTTTTGATTCTGGTGGACAGAGACGCAGCAGTGAAAGTGGAGCGAGACGTCTCAGTTCCTGTGAGTAAATGACTGTCTGTCTGTCTCCGTTTGAGTCCGAGCGTGTTTCTGTGAAATGTTTCTCCTCCTCTCTTGTTCTTGTACAGTGTGAAGTCTTGACGTCTCTGAAAGCTCTGCAGAAGCACATCGACCCGTCGCAGCTCACCAGAGACTTTGACGGCAGCTTCCCATACGAGCACAGCCACTACATTCACTTCAGACAGGTGCTCAGAGCAGGGATTCACCAACCCCTTTGACTCGAAGTCCCCCTGAGGTTTAAATGTGATATCTCAATCATTTAACAACATATAGGGCTGTCAAATCGATTAATCGCATCCAAAACCCCAAAAAGTTTATTTACATAATATATGTGTGTGTGTGTGTGTGCTGTGTATGCTTATATGTATATATAAATACACACTCATACATGTATATATTTTAGAAATATTTACATGTGTGTGTGTGTGTATATATACAGTATATATATATATATATATATATATATATATATATATATATATATATATG